TGATGGATACGCTGACAAAGGCCATGCTGCTGGCTATGATGACAAAGGTCCTGCTGCTGCTGGTTATCCTGACAAAGCTCCTGTTGGTCGCTATGGTCCAGGCCCTGGTGCTGGTTATCCTGATCAAGCTCCTGCTGCTGGCTATGCCCCCGGCCCTGCTGATGGATACGTTGACAAAGCTCCTGCTGCTCCCGCCCCTGCCGCTGTTGCTGGCTATCCTGACAAGGGTCCTGCTGCTAGCTATGGTCCCGCCCCTGCTTCTGGCTATGCCGACAAAGGTCCTGCTGCTGGCTATGATGACAAAGGTCCTGCTGCTGGCTATCCTGACAAGGCTCCTGTTGATGTCTATGGTCCAGGTCCTGCTGCTGGCTATCCTCACAAACCTCCTGTTGATGGCTATGGTCCAGGCCCTGCTGCTGGCTATCCTGACAAAGCTCCTGCTGCTGGCTATGGTCCCGACCTTGCTGCTGGCTATGCCGTCAAAGTTCCTGTTGCTGGCTATGGTCCCGCTCCTGGTGCTCGCTATGCTGACAAAGCTCCCTTTGTTGGCTATGGTCCCGCTTACAAGAACAGAGCCATCTTTGCCAGGCCAGTTCAAAGCGTCAGTAAGGCAGCCAACAGGCATTTTACCATAAGAAGATTCGGAAAACCAAGATCTGCCTCGAAACTCTTACCAAAACGTTTTGCTGCCTTCCAACCATTTACAGGCATCTTTGGGTAAAAATCAACTAATCTATAGCATCAAAGTGTAAAAAAAAAAGACATTGCTAATTTGTTGAATGCAACTGAGAGAACTAGGCGTTATTCACTAAATGCATTTTCGAAAAGGTACATGACAACGCGATCACGATCAGTTTTCATATATATTTCGCACCAATAACTAGCTTGTTATTTTCACTTAATATACACAAAAAGTCATCTAAAGGACGTTTCACTTGTTACATGGATACTTAATTCGTGTCAATAATAAAGATCTTGAAACAAGTCCTCATTTTCTTTTCATGTCGAACTACTTTGCCTTTTTAGGCATTTTGATATTTGTGGGGTTTAAGCGTAAATATCTAATATGCATAGACCATTATTAAACCTAAGGAGACTTTACGATCAATATCTATTGACACAGGAACCATTCTACAGAATATATATGGGATGAACACTTGGAAAAGAAGTTGTTTGTGTAAGGTGTAAATGAAAAGAGCATCATCAAATTTTAGCAATTGTCAACTTGTTCCCGTTTCGAATGAAAGGACGGAATTAATATAAGCTTCATTTCTTTTATCTTAATTTCCAATCTTTTTCATTTAATAGAACATATCTCCTGTAACATAGGCTTAATGATAATATATGTGACAAGAATGGAAGACCGCTAGAAACCGTAGTTCATTTCCCATTAATTTTTTCACGGACACAAAACACTCCGAGCTTTTTTCAAGGGGCATTGCCCCTTATACCGACCCCGATAAGCCTGCCTTACCCCAACCTGCACTTATAATACGAGAGCTCAGGCTTCCATTCTTAGGACTACCATTCCTGTCACACCGTCTTAGGACTACCATTCCTGTCACACCGTCTATGTGTATCAAAGCGGGTAATGCTCGCTAAGCACATCTAATACAATGGATCTGTGCTATTCGAGCATCTCTACTACAACTTAACGAAGTCAGATCTGGCGATGAAGTTTTTTCGAACTCTAAAGAACTGCGCAAAAGCGACCCGTCACGTGAGTTACGGACGCAAACTCCCCTTCACAGGGCATTAAGTGGCAACTCTGGAATGATCTAAAAAGAAGGAGCAATTAAAGGTGAGTGTAATTTTATTTTGTTACAAATCTGATCGTGTGAGGCAGTGTCATCATCGACTGTACCTATTGTTTTTATATTTTGTATTAACGTCAAACTGTATGATTGAGAGCCCTGTTTGTGTAATCATGGCGTGCAATCATAAATCACTCTTATTCATATTAAGTTAATATCACACGGACTGCATTAATTCAGGGATATAATCATAACAAAATGGTTCTGGTGAACAATAATGGAAAAAACGTTGATCATTGATCTAACTAGAATTTTGTGAAACACCGCACGTTTTTGCGAGAAAGGTTTTCTAAAATTAGCACTCTTTATGCGCACCCTTCCAACAATTTGCCTTTAATACTTTACTTTGGCTGCCAGTCTGTTTGTTAGACAACTAAATTATCAAATAAGAAAACAACCTGTCTGACTATCTTAATATCGCTTTAGCAACCTTCACACCAGATGTCATACTTTTTAAGATGGTTATGAAAAACTTTAATCCCATTACTCGGGGGTAAACATTATGAACTGACGCACTTGGCTTGGTTGGTAAATAGTCCAATCTCTGTACGGATAAGTCAAAGACAGATCTAAGAATATGAGAGGTTCATATTTATTTTGGGTTGATGATATTGTTGACGCATGATTACTGAACAGTTTCACCTTTGACAAATCTGTTACTGCCTGCGAACTAGAAAGTGATTACCAAATAACGGGTGTTTTCTCAGGCTTAAAATATTCACTAAACTCATCACAATTCTGTCCTGATATCATTCACAGTCATTCTCTAGAGAATTTGATATATAGTGGTATTAATTGGTGAAAAGCTCCCTGGAGAACATAATGCCTAATATAATATCTGTGACCGATTTCATCTTTGTTGACTTCAATTATTTGTATCATTTCACTGATTGGTTACTGTGGATTGACAATAATATTAAAACCTATTTGGTATTAACGCGTCTTTTTGATTAAATGTTCGCCCTGTTAGTGATCCAGGTAGTCTCTGCATGGGGTCAAAAAATCAATTTGTAACGCACTTGCCTTGGGCATTTTCTGGCTAAGGTGGGGCTGAGCAAAAGACAAAATTTGTGTACTGGTTCTGGGAGGCATCAAGAGAGATCTCCAGGTGAAATACATGGAACACCTTGTCATCATATCACTTAACAAGGAAGTTGAAAAGTTAGCACTGACGTCATCGTGTTGAAACGCACATTTACTTCCAGTTTTCATGCCCCAGAACAAATAACCCTATTCCAAGGACATTAGATTGACGTTGAGTCCAGAATGCGTTTAATTAAGCTTCAAGGGATGCTCTGAGAAACGCAAAGAATAGAGAGAAGTGTGCAATTAGACCAAGTAAACAAACATTGCCGCTACCTGGTCGCCGCTCTCACGGCTGTTCCTCAAAGTTGTGCCACGTAAGTCCTGGAAACTCTGATAATATGTTGTCAGGCTTTATTTTTATACAGAATAATTGGCGACCGGCTGCTCTTCAAGATTAAACAGCTTATTCATTAGGGTTAATATTTTGATCAAAAAGCTTGTAATTATCAGAAAACCAAGACGTAAATATCATATCGGTGGAACAAGACAAGTTATAAAGGAAGGCAAAATTTGGTAAAATACAATTTGCCATTTGTTTAAAACGAGAGTTAACGGGGAGATTATTCACCCTCATGACATTTTGAGCTTCATCTGCATGGAAAAGAGATAAGCTAGTTATAACACAGGGATTCTGACATGTGATGGTAGATGCTATCTTTGATACTTTGTTTGTATCAATCAATAGACTGGTTTGTATCTTGTCTATCGGGGGCTTGTCAGTTTCATTACTTCGTCTGGATAAAAAGGTAAATACCCAGCGAATGGTTTATCTTAATGTTTCTTAATCAATCAATCCACTACACTTCGATTTCATTAAAATTTTTCGAATGATTTTGTCTCTCGCACCATGAAGTTGTGACTCAATAGCTCTTGCAACATCTAAGTGGCGCACAATGCAAAAATTACGGTGTAATTGCAGTACCAGAATTAGTTTTGTCTTTACATACTTTCGTGAAGAGAGAGAGAGATTAGGAGTTATAATATCCCGCGGAGTCAATAGAACTGGCTTTGTCAAACTTCATACAAAGGATACTGTCAGTTAAAATGTGTACTTGAAAAAACGTGTGAAGATGGAGAGCAATCGGCTCTATTCTATCACGAGGGAAATGATGTCTACGACCCTTCTTCTAATTCGTTTTTACAGATGTACTCAGCAAGTCTGTGCACTCATCTGATATATGATATACGGCTGAACCGTCAGCTCTTTGCCTAACGTGCCATTAAGTTTATGCCAGAAGAAGTGAGGTTCGGCGTTTAACGAGGCGCAATGACATGCATTGAGGAACACATGTAACGTGTTCACATACGGGATTAATGAAGACATTGCCATTGCAGAGCGTTTGAACAAATCAAAAGCTGTTTGTCTCACAGCGCCCAATTCCCAAAAGCCTGTGATATTGTTTATAATAAGGCACCCAAAATGACTTCTATTGATCAATTTCCAGCTAATTGTATCTCGAACTGAATATCAGATAATTGAAAACAACCCGAAACAAGAATGAGGCTGTTGATGATGGATGTATTATTATTCATCGATATTACATTGTCATTTGTTGTCATTTGACTTGATACTTTGACTTTATTTTCCTGGAGAAAAAAAGAAACGGTAGAATGCTGGCCTATCACATTATAGCTTTTTTGTTAAGAGGAAGTTTCCACATCTGACACAAGATTGGATTACTTACATTTTCTATGACATTCTATTTGCAAAGAGATCGTTTCTTAGAAAGCTTTCATGAACGAGTTTCAAGCAACTCGGTATCTTATATACAGTATATATCTTTTCCATTCAAGTAACGCTTTCATTGAAGCGAAAAAAATTTTTATAACAAAGGAGTCTACAGGAGAAACACATGTTCCCGTATGCTCCTAGTTAAATCGGATATGATGAAAGTAAAACCAGATAAACATCTAGGACTTAAACTTTTGACCACTGCTCGGCCTGTCTAACGATTTCCATCAATAGCAATTCCAGTATCAGTTGCTTTTTGTTGGGACATCTTCTAATATCCGATCGGAAATTAAGACGAGGTTAAACGCTCAATATACTGTTAATAGTTGTATGGATAGCTAGTGTTTCTCACTTTCATTTTCCTGGTTGTAGTACATTTAAGTGGAACCCTAAGGGAATAAGCAGACCAATATAGTGATACGAATGTGGCATTTCTTCCTCTCCCTGTCAAAGGACCTCGAGTTCCAGTCTATAAGGAACAGAACTCAGAAACCAGCATTACTTAGCGTCAGCGATAACTGTGATGGATACAAGAGATAAACAGTTTTTGTAGTAAAATACTTTCTAATAACATACTAAATGCCTTACATGATTTTAAAAAAAGTTATACAACCCCTGGGAATGTAGCAGCGGAGATATATCACTCTCTTATTCTTTGCCACTCCTTCGAGGGCATGTATCCACGTCAATTATCAGCCGTTACACTCCTCTATCTTACAATGTTTTGGCTGTCTCTTGAAAAGTTGGCGAAATAAGATTGACTGACATTTTAAGTGACTTTCACTATCTACCCACGAGACACTCTCAAAATGCTAATATCCACAGCCCACAAATAACTGTCCAATCAAATTAGGTGAGAACATTTGTAAGATGGTTTCGTTTGGCTTTTATGAAATCGCATCAAAGTAACATTATTACAAGAGTCTACACGGCTGTTCTAACTCTTGGTAACCGTTGACAGTCATGGTTATTGGTTATCTACATCCTAAGATCGTCTCTTATTTTGGCGTGGAATCAGTCTTACCGCTATGAATCACAGGTCTGTTCGAATTAATTTCTATAAAGGACACGAAACCCGGCATTCATATATCATGGGAAAATAATGGCATATTTTTTTCATGATGTTAGCGGAAAATGTACATCTAAATAATTAGGCTTAGAAGACACGACAGTCCGATTAGTTGTTGACTCAGAATAAAAGAAATCGTGACTATTAAGCTTACAGTGAAACCCAATGCATAAAGACGAACATTATCAATGGCACAATATTCTGGGATTATGTACATGTAGACATAGTCTCAGACCATTTCATATTTTGACATGAGATACAGTCATGCCAACAGAAGGCCTACTTTTACAGGCCTTAATCTGCGCAGCCATTATTTAGAACGGAACTGACCAAGAGGTTTACCTTGCCAGCCTCAGATCAACTTATATTTGACCGACTTGAACATACCCGCTGGACTTTCAGCAATTTAGGAACTTGATATTAAAGCAAGGGTGTCTCCAAAGCAATTGATCAGGAAATGTAGCCTAATATTCACAGTGTTTTGGGTCAGATCTATAATGCTATGGCTAGGAAGATGCCTCCTGGTGGGTGTATCTTGTATATTCTCAAACCTGTTATCTATTTGATTGGCTTCTTGTCATCAGACCTGACAATCTACTTCTAATAGACCGACAACATTTGCCTATATCGTCGGTAGTCTCAAAGCAGCTCGTTTTAGCTGAGGGTGGTTTTACCCTTTAAGACATCAGATCAGGCACTTTTTCGGCAGGGCATATTTTACCCTTGATCACCTCAGATCAGCTAATATTTTGGTTGGAGAGCGTGCCTCTCCTGCCAGGTGTGCGCCAATCCATCACTGCACATGGCATATCCACTGATCTCATACTGATCTCAGGTGCTGAGCAATATAACCTGAATCATATAAACCAGAAGGTAAAACTTTGTCTATCCTGCCAAGAGCCGTCTGTATTGGAACAAAGGCAGAAGTCTGCATGTGATTATATTGGGGCTGTTCGAAGGTAAGGCAAAACGCTCTCTGTTTGATTTTCATGGCTTCAAGGAAAAAGTAAAATAGATGGTATAACAAAGGATTCCTCAGGGTTCATAGTATTAAGAAGAAATGCCTCAATTTTAATTTAATTGACTTAGGTTTTAGGGTACATACATTAATTTGTTGCGTCAGTTGGTTGTGCAAAGATAAATATATTTCTAGTTGTTTCTCGTGGACATATACTAACGGCATTACTTTGTTGAGCGCTAAGAGTCATTCCTCCTGTGAGACTTGCCTAATTCGCTCGTTTTCAAAGTCCCGTTCCACGTACACAGAAACGAACGTGGTTAAATCTTTTTTTTTCAAATTCAAACTCCTAACGACCTTAGCTTGTTCCTGAAACAAACCAGCAGAAAAGAACCTTATTTTGTTTGGTATAGGTTCTTCATGACTATTTTTGTGTATGACATTTTAAAGAGTAATTATTTGAATAAGGAAAAGGTCACAAGTGTAACCACTGCCCCGGTAACATATTTATCTAAAGAAATAGGAATCCCGCAGAGGGCAACCATTACTATGAAAGCTTATTATTAAGGCTTAAAAGTTATCCATTATTATAGAACGAAGCCGGATAGACTAAAGACCCCGTGTGCATTTAGTGAATGCTAAGAAATAGTTCGTTAATCAAATCTGCTTTGCCTGGTAAACACTTATAGGGTGAGTTGGGGGTCTCGTCTTTTGTTGTGACTAGTATCAAATAGAAGAAACCAACCAAAATTCAACATATATATATATATATATATATGGTAAATTTCATTCAGTACCACATCATCTGGCAATATGGAGATATATATGGGTTTAAAGCCAAATTGACTGTACCGACTATATTCTACGTATTCATACACATTGCATTTGTGAACTGCCAAATTGTTAACATTATTTTCTGGAATAATTTGAATGGGTTTGAAAATGTGTACCCAGGCATGAAAAGAGAAGTTAACTGCACACATGAAGACGACTACGATGACTCATAAAAAATTATGTGAGATGTAAACTGTTTCAGTAAAATTGGTATAAGGAGATCATTTACAATATCGTCCACGTACACGAGCCTACACAATAGTTTTCGGTAAAAAAAATGGTTCTGTATCTCGTGAGCGAGACAGAATAATTGCAATCTCTCTGTTGGCTTTATTGCCACAAGATCTAAGTTCATTGCTTAAACAAATCAATTTCAACACATGTTATCCTGATTTCAGATTCGGATCATATGATAGCACAATCCGTTGGAATATTTAAAGTCTGCCATACCTCATTACGACTCCAATCACATCCTTTCGCATATACTGTCTGTAAGTGTACTTTGCATTGCATATGGATCAGATTTTGCTGGCGCCACACGGTGCCGACTTAGACGACTTATACAAAGGTTAACATAATGGCTATAAAACATGTTGCTTGTTGCAAAGCAGACTGTTTACATCTTATAGGAATTTGATTGTTGGATAATTTCAAATAAAAGACACCAAAGCAAATACCTCTGAATTGGTGATTGACATTCTAATGTGCTTATAAAGACGGCAAGTTATAAAGTTATAAGCTAATTTTGTCTCCACATCTATTGAGTCCATCAAGCAAGATGATATTGCTCCCACTGGCAACATTGTTTAACTGTAACTTATTAAGTTAATTAATGATATACCAAAATATAACATATTACGTTAGAAATTAAACAATGTTGCGAATGAGAGCAGTGTGGGGCCAACTGTCCTAAATAGAGTAAAAGCATATCAAGATTAATGCTTGCCAATGTGTTAGGTATTGACGGCCTGTTTTCCAATTACTGTTATATACCAAAATATCTTAAGAAGTATCCAGTTATCTCAGAGATATATTTGTTTACCTAAACATTTCACTGCTGTGAATCTGATTGTCCAGGTACCCTACCGAGTACGAACCATTGGCCTTTCGAAGTTTCTAAGTTATGGCTACTGGTTTTCCTAAATAATGACATAGATTGGTTCCAACTTCACTGAATGACCAAAACTGTTCTCTTAACATCCAATAATGTACATGACCTGGGGATAACATTTTCACTCGTTGTTCGAGATCCCAAGGCGAATATTTGTATCAACATCTTGTGTAAAAACAAGGAAACATAATCTCCTTGTAATCACGAGGGTGAGTTGCAACCTTTTCTTAGTGTTAATCTATAAGCAGCACGCGGAATGGTTGCGTAAAAGAGACCCAAAGGGGCATGGTGCTATTTACCATCTAATGTCAAGTAGACCATACTGTTAGACAAGTCTAACGCAACATAACATTTCCCTGTGTTGTAAGCTGGGCGCCTGTTGGTCTTTAAACATCGAAGTCCAAAAGGAATAACACAAGTTTTGAAGCGTGTGTACATTCCTTCAAGTTTATGAAAAACGGCGTTCCAGTATCAGAGAAATGTATTTTTTGAACATAATTTCTAGAGCTAACTAGTTTTATTTGATTTGTTTACAGATAAAAACGCTCTGAATAAAACGAAGGCACACCTGTCTGAGGAAAAGAGTTTATACTAGTGCATCCCGCAGCAGGCGTTCATAGATAGCGGAGAAGTACTGCGTAGAAGAAACGCAGCTATTTACAAGTAATGAGAGTGTGCTGGAATCTGTCGACAATATAAAGAACGGAGAGCTATCAGCGAGAGAGAGAGAGAGAGGAGTAACCAAGTGTTGACAAATATCGTTTCAAAATGGATGTGCTGGACCCCATGTACAATTTTGAATCTCATTTCCCCGAGCGTCTGTCTCGTCTGCATCTTCATACCGACCTTCACCATCCTGGCCAGAGTAGGTCCTTCAAGACAAGGCAAGGTAAAAAAGGGCGACGTGAACGAAACGCAGCCCGTTACCGCACACAACCTATAACATTCGATGAAATTAAAGAGGTGGACGAGGATGAACTAGAAGAAAAGGAAAACGATTCTGCTCAGAAAACAATTGAGAGCCTGAAGAATTCCTTTTCAACATTTTCTAAAACCATACAGGATAAAGGCGCGTTTCCAAAATCTCCCGACGCTTCCGGAGTACCAGCTGCGCCTGCGTCGCCAATTGGCGCCAAACCAGAGCAGTCGTATTCTAATCCAGACCTGTCGCCAACGAAAATAGACAGTTTGCCCTTGACACGAGATACGAGGCGATTACGAACCAAAGCCGCTGGGAAAAATTCAAAAGAATGTGACACGTAAAATAATATGGCCAAACGTACAAACAGATTTTGCTTATTTTCATACAATTACAAACATGATCGCATTATCAGTTCGGAAAACTTTGTTACATTTCTACTTGCAAGAAAGCTTCTAGGAATATGTGAGATTGTGGGCATAAAGCATCCTGGTTTGAAGAACGTTTACTGCCTTTTTATGACGTTTTAGTTATAAGAGCAGTGTTATAGTTCATGCCAATCCTGAGGTAGCGTTATAAAACGTTTGGTGATAAAATTGAGACTTTGGTAAAGGAAAGTATATATATTCTGGAGTAATGCCAGCCAGTGTACATTTTTGTAACAAACACAACACGAATTTCCGATTCCTCAGAAGTTAACTGCACCCTTGTATTATTTCATATTAATCGGTATTGCCATTCAATGGACTCCGGTTAAGCTTTCGCATGTACGTATTGTAAAAAAATTGATATTAAGCAAGTATACTTATGATACCACTTTAAGATAGACCATAAAATGCAGTTGAATTATTTATAAGACTACGTTTTTGTTAGTAATAAATATCAATTAGAATCAATTCACAGCGAGGAAGCAGTGGAAATCTTGCCCAAACCATGGCTGCATATTTGGATGTTTAATTCAAATAGTTTTTAAAAATAAATAAAAAAGGTATAATTATACCATGTTTGAATGTTACAATATAGCTAAAGATTTTAACTTAAAGTATCTCATACAATAGAATACCAGAAATAGAGGACTATAATTATCAATGACGCACGTGTAGTGTCAATTATTCAGCGTAATGATACGTGGCTTCGCCGTTCCTATCCCTCTTAAGTTACCCATTTTTTACATTTCCATAAAAAACGTAACAGAACTGAGCAAATAAATATCACTGACAATAGTTGATTTCTCTAAAACCATTTGGTTGATGATTCCCCATTTTTCTAGACTACTCCAACTATTTACACTAATTAGAGAGCATAGGCATTTTCTAGAAGAACCCACGGAAATAAAATCAGCAATCCGTTAACTACTTATAGTACTGTGCTGTAATTACACAGCAAACGTAAGTACTAATTTCGTGAAATATTTCTTTATTTCTAGACTGAGAAAAATAAATAAATAAATATATGCATCTACTTTTTTAACTTCAAGAATTTTCACAGCAAAAAGCTGTCATTTACACCATAAATTATCATCATAATTTAATCCCAATTCATTATTTAAATTTTTTATTTACAGAGAAACAAAGAAATGTTCATAAATCAATCAGTTAAATACTTTTAATAAAATAGTTTGGACAGAAATATAAGCTATTTTGCTGTTTAAAGAATACATTTTTTCTGGACCTCTGCAGAAAATTCTCAAATGACATGCAACATAAAATATCATTTCACTTAGTGCTTTCACATAGTCACAAATTACATACAGTCCTTTTTTACCAAACTCCTCACGGACACTGCCTTCATTTACATCTAATTGACCCATCTTTTTCTTCAACAACTCTGAAACATCACCGTGTTTCAATTAAGATATCACATTCACTGTGGAAGATAGTAATGTTTGAATATCCTGACAGCCAGCACTGAGATGTATCTCTCTTAATCTTGAGCAGCTGTGCTGGTAAAAAGGTCATGCTGTTGAATCCCATCCTAGTCCTTGTGGATTTGGAAGTTCACAATGAAGGTCGTAACAATGATGAAATGCCCAGCAATACAGACTAATGCTACATGTACATTCTCACATCTACACTGCAGCTGGATGTGACCACAGCGCACTTGTTGTACAAATGAAAGTGTGGTAGATTGGTCAGTGTGATAGCTGTGTTTATGTGTATGGTATGGTGGCCGATATCACATTTTGCTGTGTGACTACACCTAAGAAATGAAAGGTCTATACATGTATTTTTAAGATAGATAACACTATCTTGATACTATGATGGCACCATTTTGTGATGATATATACTAGGAATAAGGAGTGAGTGTGGCTGGTGTGACAGTATATTGTGGTAGGTGTGACAATATATTGTGGTTGGTTTGACAATGTATCATGGTAGAAGTTACATTGCACCACTTGTTTCCTAGTTCCTATGCAAACCATTTCCCACTCCTTGCAGCAGTGTTCTTGTGTGATGGCATCAGTTTCTGTCTGTATTTGTTTACCAAATTATCAAAATCATCAGTCTGATACTTGGATTTCCTCCTATTCTTCTTCTTTTTAGAAGGGTCCTAAAACAATTAATAAAGAAATATTCAAAATAACACCAAAAAGAAGGTGCCCCAGAAACTGGTTTAATTTTAACTCCAAGGCAAAATGATGTATGGAATTTCAGCTTTTCTTGACCAGTTATATTTTCTATATATTTCTTTTCATCAATTAAATCTATTTGATTTTATTTCAATTTATGTTCTTTTGTTTAATTAAATTTTTCAGTGATGTCTGCCAAATTGAATTACATATTTTTATCCATTAAGAGAACCAATACATTAAAGATCACTTGATGTCTAAATTTTTGGTTATGACTGGTATACTGTATTTAAAATAATATTTCAGGATCTTTTAAATATCTCTTGATCCAGATTGCCCACAAAACAGAACTACATTTACACTACATGTCTAACACTCTATAGGATTCTCCCTTTCCGAGAATGCTTTTATTCAATTAAATCAATAAATGCAAGCAGCAAGCAAGGGGCTACCTTGGGAAGCTTAAAATAATGAATTCCCTGATGCATGTAAATAGAAGTATGTTGAAGCCATGTCGCAACTGTTCACACAGCATGACATTCCAAGAGGTGAAGGGATCCTAGAATTAGTTTATCACAAAATGATTTTCCTTACTGTGACTGCATGCATACCTGCCTGTTCAAGATCAGTCTAGAGACCACATAAAAGGCAAATGATCCTCATATGTGTATATGTAATGCAATACCAGAACTAAACACCAGCAGTAAGAAAAATATTTTCTTTTGTATAAATGTACAGACTTGGTACTGCACATGCATTTTTTGTGTTAGCTAGACTGTGCATGTTTGGATATTTTAGATCCTAAACACATGCATATAAGCCCTGAAAAGGTCCACGGCTACTTATCCTACATAATCAAGGCTGAAAGTGTTGTGTCTGTATATTTGTGTTTTTGAGTGTCTTTGTACATGCATGTATATATGGACATATACACTGGAATAATGAAATGCTCTAAATGCCAGCAAGTATGAATGTTTTAAAAGCCAAAGTGTGCTATACTGCCCCACTTCATAGCTTTTATCTGATCAAGATCTGATAGTATGGACTGCCTCTACTTTCCACTACCTGGACATTAGTGGAAGTCAGCAGGTATTGCTTACTTATCATCAGAAATATTTACTCTCTGTGGAGAGGTAACCCATTACTACCCCCGTTTATCTCTCTGGATAGTCCATTTTCTACGTAATACATGTGCCTATAATAACAGTTTTAAGCTGAGGGTGATGGACTAACAAATACTGTTTTTAAGAAGACTTGCGTATCTTTAATCTAAATACACACTTTTCTTTCGTGGCGCATGCTAGTCAATAGCTTGGGTAAATAATATCTTTCTACTTTAAAAAAACACATTTTTGAGCATTCAAATAGATTTAACACATAATACATATATGCACAAATGACCTATTTTTTTTTCAACTGCAAGACCGTACTTTAAATCTTCCTTCACACACTTAAATCTCAAAACGCAATTTCCTAGACAAATTCTGGATTGGCTTAACATGCTGTCAATGAATTGCATCATGTATCAGGAAGTAAAGCAGAGGGAGTTAATGAACATGACTACCATCAATACATGTTACAGTGACAGTTGACTGTTTGGAAGGGGAAAATTATTAAGAGACAAAAAAAAATGGGACAGTGATAGAGAGGAGACAAGAGAGTGGATTTGGACCAGAAAGAATCCAAGGTCTATAAAGAAAAAAAAGCAATAAGATCATCTAAAGTACACAAGATTTTTGACAAATGATGATGGCTGAGCTGTATTCGTGACCATGGGCACATGACGTGATGTGAGATTCTCATTCCCCTCAATCTAACACATATCAGCATCTGTCCTTACTGTGGCTAGGAAATCAAACCAAGTCAGTTTGGATCTTACTAAACCAACAATCATTTATCTACAAAACCCATTTGAGATTGATAAATCTACTGCATGTCCATTGTATTACAAGCTTCAATATGACAGGAACTATTTCTAGCCTCCAAGGAGCCATTACCAAGAATAAGCCAGACAGCACATTTCTCCATGGATAACAGCAGTGTGAGGCTCACATTTGCAAATGGATTCCTGTTTTGCAATTCTGTCTCTATAACTAAAATGTTTCAGTAACACAACTTGTCCTATGGTAACTGCATGGTAATATTTCCTTATTCCTATTATTGTTAAACAAATTTCCAGCACTAATGATGCCTCTGATTTTAATGGTGAAATGTGGCACTTTTCATGTTAACATGACTGCGCAATTGTATGAGCTGACTTAGAAATGAAGTGATGATAACTAAAATGTGTTAGCTGAAATTTCTAAATGCAAAAAATCTTTCAAAGTTTGTTAGAATATCATCCCTAGCAACATATATATATCCATTAGTCAAGGAGTTTTCCTTTTAACTGTCTGGCCATTTCACCACTGTATCTGCTTGACCTATCTGCCACTTCTGCCACTGCCCAGTACCACTACAATCCTCACATCCTCATAAGGACTTATCAGCTGATATGTTTATTAACCAACCAGCTATACTAATGTGGGATACCTGTATATCTACAGGCAAGGCCAGATCGCTGCCAAATTCTGGGGCACCCAAACATAAAATGCACTAGAAGAGGTACTGATAATCCCAGAGAGTATTCCATCAGGGCATATTTTTAAAAACAATTTGCCATTTTTCTTTCGGTAATATCTAGAACATTCTGGCAATTTCTTTCATTTTACCTGTCTATCTAGATCTTTGCATTCTAAAGTGGCTAATTATATAGCTCACACAAGTGCTGACAGTAGCTAGGGTGTCCAACTGTTAAATCCATTATAAAACTGGTTTATGCAGATATGACTTTTGGGGGAATCTAACAAGAAATTCACTTCTAGCCTATATGACCAAAGCGAGAAGGACATTCAAATGGTGATGATCTTATTACACTGACACTGCTATTGATTCTGCAACAGTATGCATGGTGACATCAATGTTATTCCTGTATTCAATGCCTATAAAAAAAGTCAATGAACCAAATCTTTTCACATACTGTGTGATGCACTGAGCATAATTGAAAATATCTCGTCACATCTAGTAGTTTTTTCTTTACTAAATGCCCTTCACAAACCTTTAGTTATTTATGTAATCCTTTTAGAAAATCTTAATCCAACTATCATAACAAATCCAAATTAGAGCACTTTATATGTCAATTTTTCTGGTATTTGATCTATTTTCCAGCATTCCACCAGGATGCATTTTAATATTAAAATATTCTGCACAGTAATGTCTATAAAAACCCTGTAGAATACCAATCAGTGAATGGTATGAGAAGGTATCTTTTAGTGAATATAACTTAATCTGAAATTTCTCAGGGAAAATCAATAAATTGATGTTTATATCAGAGTTATGGAGTTCAGAAAGCTATCCAGTACAGATCTGCTAATTATATACAAATATTCATGATTGTGTTCGGCTGCAAACACTGAAATTCACTGTAATAACCTTAATTAAACCAAAATCAATACTGTTCATGTTTTAGTTTGGCATGTTAAAATGTTTTATATAGAAGATGGTATTTGAATGTCATCTATAAATGGCATTAGAAAACCTGAGCACACCCCATCCAAGCTGCCAGATATCTGGCACCAAATCAAATAAGGAATTAAATTTGGAAAAATGAGATAAAATCTTACACCTGCTTTAGCAAAGTTAGAAAATTCATTGGGTTTTTCTAAAATTTATAATGTTCAAGTCATCAGAGGAACTCTTATTAGAAACACTGGGAGAGCATGACATCCCTGTTTCTTCAAATGTAAGACATTATCTTCACACTACAAAACTTTTATCATTTACGAACACAAGGCTGTGCCAGGAGAATGCACACGCACAGCAGACATATGGTGAATTCCAGAGTTAATTTTCAGTGAAACTCCATCCACCTTCCATCTGCTGACATCATGTTACATAGGATGAAATAACTCGGCAGTTATCTTATGCCCACAAGGATTAAGGCTTACATTCTCTACCTGCCTACTTGTCACTGTGCTGAGTTTCCTCATGCTTTTCCCTGCTTACCTGTTCCTTTCTGCATGACTACTATGAGGATGCATGCAACATCAGATACTTTGAGGATTTCCAAGAGGCAACCCTAGTACAATATCTGTTTAGCCAATACCCAAAATTAATTAATATTATTCACATTTTTGACTAAATTAATGACCCACTGATTAATTTTTTTGACACTTTCCTATGATTTAACCTCAGTTAGTCATTTCTATTCACTGGACAAAAATGTGGCATGTCAGCAAGAACTGAGATCACTGATGCTGTGTGCTATGATCTTACACAACAAACATTCATCTTAATCAATCAGAAGCACATTAGTTATCAGTTGCATATTTTGGTGTGCTTGGGTTACCCTGAAGTGCAATGAATCATTGAATCTTGATTTAAGTGAGGTTGTATTGGTTTTAACTTTCCACGCGATCATAACATTAAAAAAATCTTAAAGAACAAAATCTATGGCCTTTGTATTATTTATTAGTTAATATAATTTTCTTAATGTGATCTAAGCTTCATTTGCTTGCTTTTATAGCTGGCATCAACTGTTTGTCAAGTGAATCATTTATCTAAGATTACAGACATTTATAAAATCCCAGAGATCTTGGGTAAGACATTAGTCACCATTCCCAAAATGTAAGAAAATCTTTTTGGCTGATGTTATCAGGTTGCGAGGGTACAATGTGGGGATCTCTGCGATGAATCCTTTAAGAACAGGAATCATGTTCCTCATTTCTTGGGGGAAAAATGTTACCTAAAAATACTGCCATGCTGAATTCTTTGTGGTAGACTTTTTCACCTAGCCAATGGAAATAGCAGTAAAGGTTGAAAAAAAATCAATATTAAACATAATCCAGTGAAACTGAAGGGCAAAATGAATTTATTTCCATTTTCTAGCCAAAGTACACTAAATTTAGACATCAAAAACATTTTTCTTGCATGTATGGGCCATAGAACATTGCTGAACCATTGCCTTTCATGGTCTGATATTAATGATATTTTCCTTCCACTGCAATTTTAGAGTAACAGCACTCTTTCCTCCACTTCATTCCAAAATAATTAATGTATCTCATTACAATCCATTTTTCATTGATAGCACTCACATACTGGACCCTAAGTTTCTGAGGATGAAAACAGGAGAACAGCAAGAAGAAAGTATTTGTACATTCTAAATCCAATGTTAGGTATTCTTGATAATGCTATGATAATCCCACAATCAAAGAAGATAAACTATACTTGTTACATAGCCGATTCAAAGATGAAAATAAGAAAACTGTGGCATGCAACATGCTTAAATTACTATAAAAGCCCAAGTCCCTCTTGAGGTACTTTTACACCCTTTCATTAGCTCAACCCTGTATTTGGGAAGTGTAAAACAAGTCAAACAAGGATTTATTTTTATATACAGCAGTGTGTTAGATGTGACCTATAAAACTATTCACTGAGTGACATCTTGCAAGCAGACAAAGAATCATTGTTAGGTGTGAATCTGTGCATTCTTCACTTACCTTTGCCTCAGGATGCTCTCTACTTCTTGGTGGTCTTGCATTCTTCAGTTCCTTCTTCTTTCCTTTCCCTGTAATCTTACCACCTCCCCTAGGTTTATGTCTTATCTTAGGGCCCCAATGCTTTGGAAGCCCCTTGGGAAGTTTTTGACTAGAATCACCTTTGTTTTTGACTTTATCTTTTGAAAGAAGTGTCTCTACTACATTGTCATTTGACTGTTTTTTTCTTTTCTTTTTATTTGAGGGCTGTTGTGATGTGCTGTTTGCTGAGTCACTGTGCTTTCTCTTCAATGTTCCTTCTTTAGCCTGAAGTAGAGAATGAAAATAATTGTATGATATTTGTTCTATATTGGTTTATATTTATATATTTGTTAAAGAAAAATAAATAAATAAATAAATAAATAAATAAATAAATAAATAAATACACAATTAAAGAAAATATTGTCAGACATATATATATATATATATATATATATATATATATATATATATATATAATAACACTTCACACTTTAAGTGCAGGTACATGCATTCGCAAAAAATGGAAAAGGGTGAAAAAGGTAAGCTTATTTCTCAGAAGAAGTTAATTAATTTAGGGTGAAAATGTTTCCATTTACAAAAAGAGACCCAGCAACTTGCACAGCACCCACCTGGTTTCTTGAAAGCCTCTTCTGTTTGGCTTGCAGAGCAAGTTTGTTTTCCAGTGAAAACTCAACAATTAGTCTCTGAAAATCAAGAAATGATATTCAATATTATATCTCAGCATTTTGATAGTCCAACTAGGAAAACTAAACATTTACACACTGAATTAGCCAATATTTCAATATTTTAGCATCAAACAAAAATAACAATACAACAGTTACCAAATTTGGTTCCTGTCAGCGACATTAACCATTGGCCTAACTGCCAATGCCATTAAAAATTGGACAGGGCCAGTAAAATTTCTTAAAAAATAGTCAGTTACTGGCCTTATTAGGCCTGTGGATTTTGTAGCTGTAACATAATTACATGCACTCTAATCTGTTTCATAAATCTTCAGACTAAATGATGAAGTCTTCTTTAAATAACCTTTTGAAAATCCTATGTTTTTATTCTTATTTTTTATAGAAAGCCTGTCCCACTTAAAGTAATTATTTTTTTCAAAAATTGGACTTGGGGCCAGTGATTTTTGGTTTGGGACAGTAAATTCTCAGTCCCTGGTGGCTTAGATAATCACTAAGTTGAAAAGTATTTAGCACAGGCTGTGGTTAAAAATGAAATGAGGCATAAAGTATGCATTACATAAAGAGCACAAATCAAAACTTTACCTTCTTTTCACCAAACAGGTCTGGTGAGTTATTGGTGGCATTCAGGGCCTTGAGTGCATGTTCATGGTCTGTGAAAGTAACAAAACCATACCCCTTTGACTTGGCTTCCCCCTGAGAATTCACTTGGGAGAAATCTCTCATTATACGACTCTGAAAAAAGAGCTCGAAATTGTCCAAAACATACCTAACAACTGCCATTTTATTCAAAATCTGGGTGTTTAATCTTTTTGCCCAGCTACATTCAGAACATTGGCAAAATTTCTTTACTAGATAACCATACTGTAACAGTTTTTCAATAACATTTTTAATTTTGGAAATTCATTTAAAAATCTTTTCTCTTCATCACATCCTAATCTGAATTTATTTCCAAATGGCCACAAAATAAGTGAACACCAACATATTACCAGTGGTAACCATACCTCCACTATTTTAGCTTTCCTATCCTGTGCTGCTTTGAGGAACATCTTCTTCAACTCCTTGTCATCTATTCGAACTGGGAGGTTTCTGATGCAGAGACGTACTGGAGAAATGAACACATTTGGGTTCTTCAGTTTCTGTCTCTTCAACATTTCTACCTGAAATTGCAATTCATACATCTATCACCTATCACTGCTGTCACTTTTGAAATTGGTACAATACAAATTCTCCACAAATGTTACTTTTCAATCACAAGTAAACCTCATTATGGAACTCTAAAAAAGAACATCCAATCCATACCAAGGATATTTAATATTTCATTTTTCCATCCAATGATCTTAACATTATTTCATCTCAAAAGCATGTGACTAAAGCCCTTGTACTATAATCCATGCAAAAGCCAAATGTGAATCCCCCAGTCTATTTACCTTCATCCTTTTAGATAGGTCACTTTGGCTCAAGCCTTCTGCTGCCTGTGTGCCTGCTCTTATCACTGAGGAAAACATACAAAATGCACTTTAAATATTTCATAATAAAGTGATAGAAAGCTGTCATATATTTCTTTAGAAAATAAAACTGCAAAAACAATGTCTAATATTGTGAGCATTGCAGAAAAACAGTGTTTTTATGCATCATCACATTATTTCCCCTCAATCCTATGTAACCAGAACTTCCAATGAGCTGACTTGTTGCACTCACTTCCTTCTCTCGCCAGATGAAGATTGCGGTTGTCCTTGCTCTGTTTTTCTGTGTCCTTTTTTTTCAATTCGGCAGCCTTGTTTCTATCCACTGCTAAAGACACCAATAGTTTTCTTCCATCTAAAACAATGCCCCCACCCTGAAAAGAAAACATTAGAAACAATCCAATAAAGAACGCATGAACAACAGTTATATATCACCTGACACAAATGTTTCTATTACACAATTCTTTGCTAATTGCCTCAAGTGACAAATGTTCCTAGATGTAGTCTGCCTAGACGCCATACTTTCAATACTATTTCACCAAATAGTGTTTTTTATCTCAGATTCTACTTCAAAAATACTAAATACCTTTCACAAAATAAGCAGTAACATTTACTCAAGTTAAAAATTTATTCTAGCTTGTGCTGATGTCTGACACATTCATGTGTCACAAAAAAATCAAATTCTCACTTCTTTTTCATCATTAGCCTTCTGTAAACATGTCTCTGCTGCTTCCTGGTCCTTGAACTGCACAAATGCCAAACCTACAAAAGAAATCAATCAAATGCTAATGTCACTGGTCATTTCATCCTAACTTAATCTACTATTCTGTACAAGATCTCTCTTACATTTTCAATAAACAATCTCCAATATAATTACCTATTTTCAACATACATGTATGTTTATAAAATTACTAATGCCATGATTTGTCAGACTATTAAAGCTTCAGTCTTAAACTTATGACATAGATATACTACCAGGGAAAGAAAATCTTACTTTTCAATCAGTCTGATGAAGATATTTGAAGGGATAAAGCTTCCTAGGTCAGTTAACAGCTGTGCATGCATATAAAACTCTTTAGCTTTATCTTACAATTTAATTAAGTTTTTCTTATTTACCTTTAGAATGTTCTGTGTCTGGGTTAAGAACAATTTTGACATAATTAATTTCACCAAACTCTGAAAATGCTTCCTCCACATCTTCTTCTAAGGAGTCATATGAAAGGTTTCTAAAACAAAAAAGACTTCATATAAACATAAATCTGATAACATACAAACATACATGATTGAGGAAAAATACGATTGTTAGTTTAATTTTAAAACATTTTAATAAATCTAAGTCATCATTTTTTTTTACATGAAACAGAGTGACAAATGAAATGCCTATTCAATAAACAAGTAACCAAAACCAATAACAGTGATGGATCACCTTATGAAAACTGTTCTTCCTTCCTCTACATCACTCTTCAGGTTTTGTCTGAGTTTGCCTAAATAAAACAAACATCAAATCCCATATCATCCTGTTCTTTCAAACAAAGAATTGAGAGGAAAAAATATTCAGACAAACTGTCAAAAAGTAGTAATATTTTCCATATTCATCATAATACATTTCCATCATAATACAACTGGTTAACTTGAGTATGATGCACTTGCACCATTAGACTTAACATACTTTTCCATTTTTCTTCTTCTTTATCACCACCACCAGCATCATCATCATCATTATCATCATCATCATCATCAGTAAAACCCTCATCTGATTCCTCTTCTACATCTTCATCTTCACTGATGCTCCTTTCTCCCTCATCCTCTCTATCATCCAGATCACTATCTACCTCTTCATCGGAGATCTCTCCCTTATCTACATCACTGCTGTCTGCTGAAAAAGATCTATTCTTATGAACAAACCCATTATGACTGATGAACATACAGCAACATATACCCAATCTACTTGAATAAACACACTTTAAAAGGTGAACAACAGTCCAGGAAAAGAATGAAAATCTACACCCCAAAATCAGTCAGTACTTCTTTGACCAAAAACGTGTTAACTAAGTTTATTGTAAAAGAGCAAACAAGACAATGCACTATATTTAATTTTGAGGAATGACAAAGTATCACTTTTGATAAAAATCTAATACAAAGCAGCGGCTGGTCTTTAGTCTAATACAACACTAGCTACTGCTGCAATCTATTACAAAGCTGACCACATACAGACTAGCCAAGTGCTCTCAGCAACAAAAGATACTTTCTCATCAGATAATTAATCCTGTCAAAGCCATTTATGATAGACTCATCTGTGGCTAGTTTTGTTGAGATATTTGCAATTAGAATTAAAATTCAATAGGTGTCAGTGCATATCTGATAAAAACACTGTTACCTTGCTCATCACTGCCCTCCTCCTCACTATCATCTGATCCATTACCACTGAAGGAGCCAGAGTCATCCTCAGAACCTGAAACATCACAATGCAAACTTACATGTAAATACACACACACATACTCATGCACAAACACACACACACACACACACACCCACACACACCCACACACACAGGCAGACACACACTGATCATCTATACATGTGGTGTATTGAAACATGCCTCCCCCCTCTCCCAAAAAATTAACACATATCGCAAAATATGAATTAAAGAAATCTAAAACAAATATTTTTCATCAGATAATGATATAATGATAGTAAATTACAATGAGATGACAAATAATCTGGGTATATTTGCCAACTGCTACCATTATAAATAAAGTCTTAATTTTAGTTAAAATCTTTATTAACAACACACCCTGATGTTCTTGTTTTTTCTTCTGCTCTCTATCATAAACTCCCTTGGGCATAGCCCAGTCTACAGCTACAGGGCGACCTGAAAGTGCAGACAACATCACGTAAATTTTTAGACAGACATGTAAGCAAAGCATATGACTTCAACTGCCACAATATCAATTTAAATGTTTGACACTGGAGCACAGGTTCTTTTCATGTCTCTGATTTTAGTCACAAGTTTATTGCTTAAATTAAAAATTAAATGCATAAAATAATAATCATTATAATTTTGTTAAGAATTGGATTTTTATGGAAATTGAAATTGAGATCCAAGATGCAGTCAGGTCTGTAAAATTAGTTAAAGGTACCCTGTACCAGGGCCACAGATTGATTTTTCACTAGATTTTCACAGATAAGTTTATGACCAATTCATGGCACATTTCTCCACTGTAAAGTGCACATAGATAATCTGTGGTCCTGGTAGAGGGTAGTATGTACCCATCTAGGTTGAATGCCTGGATAAAACATGGATAAGATATAGGATATACCAAAATGCCTGGTTTAAACTGGATGACATTCCAGGGTTACAGCAATTACAAGTTAAACAAAGGTAAGATCTGTGTCATACCAAATCAAAGGAGAAGTACACTACATGCTGTTCTCTTTACTCAGTGAATATAAGCCATTGCTAGAGTAATCTAAACAAATTATGTCCATCAACCATGACAAAAGAAATGTAAAACGTTTACACTGACTGCTTTTTTCTAAAAACAATCTTTACAGTTTTCTTGCCTTCTTCTTTTCACGGTGTTTTATCATAACTCAACCAGCGCCCCTTCCTTCTGACATATACTTACCCAGAAGCTGTGTTGCGTTGGTCTTGGTAATAGCTTTATTGGCAGAAGCCATGTCTGTAAACTCCACAAATCCAAACCCAGCTGACTTGCCATCTGCAGAGACAAAGCTGTATTCACAACCAAAGTTGCTTTTGCAACTCAGGTTCACAAAGAGGATAAACATTTTTTTAGAAAATAATGTTGCACTATTCTTGCAATCACCGTAATCTGTCAAATTTTAGACAGTGAAAATAGTAAGTAGAGACTGACCTTGTATTGCCACTGATACCTCTGGATAAAATCTTGCATTCCTGGCTCCAAAAATGAAAACCTTTTTTACCTCGACATTGTCTAATTATATAAATAACCACAACTAAGTCTTCCTGTATTTAGAAATATATTTTACATATTTTTGCATGCACCATGACAGTGGCTCTGAAAAAGTCTGAATCAGTATAACACTTACGTGATTTCTTTGGCACACGGACTTCCACAATACTACCATGTTTTGAAAAAAATGTCTTCAAATCTTCTTCAGTGCACTATAGAAAAAAATTGAAATCATATTAAGTAACCCATTTGAATCTCAATTCTGGGTATGGTTACAAAGACATTTTCAACTGAGGTTTATTTGAAGTTCTCCTGTGAGATGGTAGGCATCAAATGCATATAAAACCCTTTACCTCATGTAATATAGTGAAAATATACACACAAAATGGTGAAAATCAGCATATTTAACTATAATTTATATCTGTGGGTGTTTTCATTCTCTGTGCATAAAATTATTTGCAAAGTGTTTACCTTCCAAGGCAGGTTCCTTATGATCAGTCGGGGTTTCTTTGTCTTCTTTTTCTTCTTTTGTTTATCTTTTTCTTTTTTGTCTTTTTCTTTTGCTTTGTTAAATCCTTCAGTTTTTTCCCTGTCTGTAATGAAATTGATTGTAAACAAACACATTTCACCTGTATCTAAAGCATTGCTGATCAAACTCTGAGTTTTGCCAGCTGAAGTTCACTAAAACCAAATACCACATTTTGAACGAACTTGATAAATATATTAAATCTTGACCTAGGTAATTTTTGACTGAATGATAAATGTAAGTTAATGTGTACAAGATAACAACTAACATTATTACACAGTTGTTTTGAATAGTGTCCTTAAATGAAAAAATGCTGACAGCTACCTCAAACTGTACAAACTTATTGCTATGTGTTTATAAATGCATACTACATGTTAAATATTTCAACGTACACACGGAGCTTGAATATCAATAAATGTAAACCAAAAACATAAATAAAAATCACAACCTGTGACATTTTTGTTTCTTCCAGCTAGTTTCTTGAACTTTTTGTCAGCAAAGGTTATGTGCAGTTTCCTTGCATTTACTGCCTTAACTTCATCCTTGGCCTTTACAGCATCTTCTCTGAAAAACAAAAATAAAACTAAGTAATGGCAAAGCAACTTTAGTGCCATCTAGACTACAAAGCTTTTGGTTAAACTAAAACAAATAAAAATTTGAACGAAGCATAGGGCTTTCTCACTTTGTGTTGAGAAGACTATTCAATGAAAAAAAAGCTATGGTTTGAGATAGAAAAGTTAGAAAAACCAGCTTTGGTGTGCCTCAAACAAAGCAAAGTTAACATACAATATTAATATCATTCATACTGGTAGCTTAACTCATCTAAAAATATGCAGATTTTGAACATTCTGGGTAAAGAAGAAAAAATAGAGTTATCACGGTATCATGTCAATCTACAATTTACAATATTTAAAAATCTGCTACACATTTAATTTTGTTTCTCCGAATAATTCTTTACATTCTTAAGTGTAAGCACAATGTCAAAGTGCCCATAGAACAAAATGCCCATAGAACAAAAGAGTCCAATTCATTCTAAAGCTGTTCTTAATGTTTCTATACCAATACTATGCACTTCTTTTAGAAAAATCTGTTCATTAAAATACACATTACTGCTTGATATACTAATTTTTATTACCACATCCAGCTAGGCCTCGGTACTTCTTTTATGGTAAGCTTTAATTCTAGTGCTTAATGGACTGCTCCCAGTCTCGTGCAAATTTACTTTAACATTGAAGTCTTGAATATATGCAGGTAACCAGAGATTAATGACTAAGCCTTTGCCCAAACGAAAGTTCAATGGTTTATATTTATCTTTCTTACCTGAGTGAAAAAGTCACATAACCAAATCCCCTACATCTGTTTGGATTATCTAGGAGAAAAAGCAATACATGTGTAGTTAATTCTTAAATATATGGAAGCATGAACTTGATGTTCATACAAACACAGAAACAAAAATTAGTAGATGACAAACATACTGCAAAATATTGGAAAACAATGAAAGGGTCCAAAATACATGAAAATAATATGTATTAATACTGGTATAAATATCATTACCGCAGAGATTCTAACGTACATTTTTGAATGATCTTCAACCTTATTACTAGGCACTGGTATCATTAGACTGCACAATATATATATATATATATATATATATATATATATATATATATATATATATATATATATATATATATATATATATATAAAACATAAAATACATATTACAGGGGCAAAATGTTGATAAAGTCAGGACTACCCCTCCACTCAAGACTTAAAGTAAGGTATATCAGAATGCTCTAGAGGCGCCACAGTCAATCCTGTCTTGCAGCAGCACTGGCCAGCCTGTGACCAGTGACCACTGAGGCACCTCGTTTAACAACCTATACAGAAATCTTCTATGCTTAAATTCTAATACTTCTGAAAGTATAGAACATTTGTCATTTTATGCAACAAACCCCATGAGAATTCATCAAGGCAAAGTATGTTTTTGAGTTGGTACAATAGTGCTCAGTGGTCACATCTTTCTGGCTAAAATGGGGGGACACATTCGCCCTAATATTCCTATTAAAAAAACTGTGATATTTCCTTTAATTTTAGAACTATCCAAATTTCAAATACACAACAGTCTGGATAAAAAAGACCTTTCAGAAGATATAACTCGTGTTTATCTGGCACATCCTAATTTTTTTTTTGTTGGTCTACCTACTTAAAATATGACAAATGTCCATATGACTATATATTTACCATTATCTTTTACTACAAAACATTGTTTCAATGGTCCTACGTCACTGAATATTTTTTCTAGGTCTTGATTAGTCGTGGAATACGGCAAATTCCGAATGAACAAGGTTTTCGATGCGTGTTCCTCTTCCATGCTTGTTTAGATTCATTTAGCATAGGTGGAGGGCCGCCCAAGATAGCCCACATCCCAAGTCGGATGTTTAGTAGGGCAGTAAGGCGAGGTGATATATCGCCTGTTTATAACAACCAAACTTAGTTCAGACGATTATATCGTATACGATCTAATTCCCTGTCCATACACACTTAATTATAGCCAATAAAAATTGCCCCTTAAGAAAAATAAATAAATAAATAAATAGGAATAAACATCTTTATTTGCACTGACGCAAAATGAAATAAATGCAAAGCTTTAGCCCCTATTCTTTTAAAGCCCTGTCACACATAATAGAGCATTAAGGCAGTTGTTTGTTTATTACTTGTTTCTCTTTCGACTTTGAAATGGCCGAAATATAATAATAATAATAATAATAATAATAATAATAATAATAATAATAATAATAATCCGAATTTATTTTATACTGGCCGGGATTAATCCTCAACAGAGGGTGGGGCCAGTCTGATACGCAGTCTTCCTCTCCAACTTGATCTATCCTGAGGGTCCTCGCCGACTAGACCAAGCGCTTCCCTGTCTCTTCTCACCACGTCCTTCCTAGCTAACCTTGGTCTGCCAGGCCTCTTTCTATCTTCCACTACTTCAACTTCTCTCACGCGGTTAAACCGTCGCTTCTCTCTATATGCCCAAACCATCGGTGTCTACTGCGGTGCAGCACTTCTTCAATGTCTTGCAGACCCAACTTCAAAAGCAGAGAACAAAACAATTGAAAAAACCAAACATTTGCTCTTATTGGGAGCAAAATTCCCATGCAATCTTAAATACCAAAATTTAATATTCTTTCTTTCAAAATTAGATTTGGGCCAGTGAATTTCGGTTTTTGCCAGTGGACTCGGGGCCGTAGCGATAGTCCGAAGGTTCAATAGTCCGAAGGTTCATTGGTCCGAATGTTCACTATAGAACCTCCGGACCAATGAACCCTTGATTTAAAAATCGATGAAAATGTTACCACTTTTCGGACCAATGAACCTTCGGACTATCGAGACGCCCCCGTGAAGTCCTAGACCTTGGTGGCCTAAATGGCCGATAGCTATAACTACTTAAATATACATGTACCACGTGCTGCATTCATATCATGTGTGAGTAATGATTGATAGACCTGCTTGTCGAACTCATCGTATTATTCAATGTAATATTATATCTGCAATATAAACAGGTGCATGTAGATGCCCGTATTCCCTAGCGTACTACCATGAAAAATGATGGAAAATACTTTTTCGTTAAAAATGTGTGACATAACGTTATCGTATTACAATAGAAAGCAATACTGATAATGTTCAAATATTGACCGTCAGCATCAAGTACAACGTTCTCTGTTTCTGCTTTGGGAATACAACGGGGTTGTAGTTCGTACTGCAAATTTTGTAAAGCTAAAACGTGACTCACCATGAAAATACAGATAGTAATTTCGTCAATCTTATATTTTATTTTTGTATTGAAAAATGGCCTTGCGACCTCTAAAAAAGTGAGAATCGGTAAGTTTGAAAGGTTATTCGAACAAAATGTTCGTATTTTTGGAAATACCGAGGAGATTCGTAATGTTGGAAGCGTACTCGAATGTTCCAATGCTTGTTTGTCCAATCCAAGATGTCAGTCCTTTAACTTGATACAAGTTGGTGTGAAGAAATTCCGTTGTGAACTGATCAGCGAAGACCCAGAAAGATGTAGGAACACCACTATGATGACGCCTGGGTGCCAGAGTTACAGAAAAGTAAGTGAGTGAGAGAGAAAACTGCACAAAGAAAGCAAAGCCATGAAGTTTATCTATCGTTATGTCACAAATGTTACATTTGCTACTTTAATTTCAACTAAATTGCCGATGTCCATTTCAGTCCAATATTGTTCTGTAATGGTTAGTATATGTTTCAGGTAGCTTTCGAAGTGCACGCTGCAGGAAAGAGGACGTTTCGCGGTATGTGAAGGATTTAATAATACTCAAGCATACTAGTGGGTGATATACAGGGGCGGATTCAGATATATTTTCTGACAGTCTTCCAAATTATCTTTGGTGATCCATTCTTCGTTTTTGACCGTCTTCCGACAAAAAAATTAGATACCCGTCAATGTTAACATGAAAATTTGACCTTCTTCCGGAAGACCCAGAAGACGGCCTAAATCCGCCCCTGATATACATGTACACAATGAAACTCACATACACAATGTGTACACTGATGAATATTTATGACTGGGGAGGGGCGGGTACACATGACAGTATTCCTAGAGACCTACAGTGTACCAGCAACTTCATCCCGTTCAACAACTGGTTCCTCCAACGTATTTCTCAGCCTAGCTAGTACATACATGTACATTGTACATTGTAAAACCATACAGGCGTGATTCAACAGTATTTTGTGAACGCGATGAGTTAATGAATGAGGACAGAATAAATACTTTAAATAAAATACCTTAAATAATAAATAAATACTTGATTTTTAAGTATCATATGAATTCGAATAGTATAAGCAATGAAACGATGAATTATTTCCATTTGCAATAAATTCTTCATAATGCATACTGGTAGGTACCCTATACATACTTTTTTGCACCTGCATGGTTATAGAGTAAGTTGGCATTCTGAACAGATGTATAAGTCAAGTATAGATAAGAAAGGTACACCATTTCAATAATACCGTTGCTCTCAATTTTTCATATATTTATTCTCATACATACACATACACATTCAAATATATACATGTATGTCTATCTTATTTTCATTAAACGTATATAAAAATTCGTTTTTCCCCCTCCGTTCCAAATAGATTGCTCAGAGATCTATACATCTGGGCTGACATCTCCAGGAGTGTATAACATCCAAACAGATGGCGCCACTACAACCTTCCCTGCTTACTGTAAGGACGGCTGGACAGTCATTCAGAGAAATTTAGGAGATGCCGATTTCAAAAGAGGTGACGCTGTCAAAATTTGAATGTTTATATTCGCTTTGCTTTTTTTCACTCCATATGTTTTGAACATGCTTGTGTTTGTATGTTCGTATATAGGGATAACAGCTCTTTATAAGAGGTTCAAAATTCCACAATAAATATATTATAAACAGTACTTTTCTCGCCAAAATGGCGAGCTGTTCTCCCTTTAACACATGTTAATACCGTATGTATATGTATGTAATAAAAATGTACTAAATGTTTATGAATAATAAATTGTANAAAACGTGTGCTTGTTAACTTTGCTGGGAGAAAATGTAAGAACAATTTAAAAGCTTCTTCAAGAGAATAATGCAATATCTTGAAAGTTCTCATCTTCCAAGCAATCAACTATGGATTGAGGGTGTTATAGACAGTGAACTTTCTTCCAATTTGGATGGCACCAAGAACGTTGCTAGTCAAGTCTCATCTCTGTGACAGTGTCATGCTGGGCATTGCCAATTTACACTGTACATGCACATGCCTTTCGTGGTTGAACAGAAAGTGCCAGGGAACTTTTTTAAACAAATTCGATATTAGTAACGGTTTTCGCTGTCGGGTCCAGGGTTTTGTTGGAGAGGATGCACAACTATGCAAAACAGTAGTCTTGACATGGTTCAGTACACAAGCTTTCTGTACATATATACGCGCAGTAATAGGCTATTGTCCCTGTATATTTTATCTATGATCTATAGATACAGATTTGCACGTTTCTGGGTCATTGGTTTGATCATCATGAACCGACTCCATGTACGCTTTAGATATGCTGTAGTTTTCTAGCACTTGTACCTTTATCAACTGACTGGTTGCAATCTGCTTTATTAATCAAATTTCATTTTGCAAAACGGAAAAATTATTCGCATTGGCGTCCATTATTGCTCTCAGAGTCGGACAGGTGTAGTTTTTATCTGAATATTTTAATAAAAACAAAATGACAAACATTTTTATCACGTGCATGCACTGGGGTTCGGTGGCGAAATGGTTCGTGTGTGTGTGTGTGAGAGAGGGGCTTATGTTTCCATTTCGTCAGAAAAAAAATTTAAATAAAACGTCCGTTTTTCCTTTTTATTTGCTACAAATGGCCAAAATTAAATGAAAAATAAACCTGGAAATTTGTTTTTTTCTTTGAAAAAGAGAATGGAAAACGAAAATTGTCGGCACGTAAAGTATTATTTTCTTTCACTCTCAAGCGGGCCGTACTACGTGACGCAGAAAGGACGCCGTCCAGTGTAAAGGGACCTTTGATTATTATATTTTTGTTGTTGTTATTTTAAATCCGTTGGATTGTGGATAATATAGGCCTACCATGAGCTGCAATGACACGATTAAAAAATAAAGCATTTTCTCTTTGTTCTCATCCTTGATTTGGTAAAAGTTATAATCAGTCTTACTCTTATTTAGCGAAGCACACGTTTTTCTGCTTATTCGAAAGTTTGTGACTAGTTATAATTGGAAATTTTCTACATGAAAATGAGGAAAACGGACTGACTTTTCCATTGAAACTAAAACGAGAAAAAAACATTTTTCTATTCTCTAATTTCTTCACAGCACGAGAAAATGACGTGTATTGTAATATATTTCGCTCTCTTGGTATTGAAGAAGGGTGGATATTTTGCTTCCTATCACGTCTGGAAATCTGTTGTTATTTGTTTTTTATATATCATAGTGAAAAATCGAAAACTAATTCTCGTCAATTCACTTTTCTTTTTTGAAGGAAAAATACCCCCCCCCCCCCCACGGACCCGTGAAGATCGAAATATTCATTCACTCTATTTCGATAGTGCCTGGCGTCAGCAGTTGCAAATGTTGTACTAATTCACTGAAAAGTATAATTTTAACAGTTTGATTTAATGCATTATTGGTTGATGTATGATCCGAATTTACTCGTCAAAAAAAAACAAAAAAAAAAAAAAAAAAAAAAAAAAAAAAATTGCGTTAGCGGTGACCCATAAATCTTGAATCTGCACCACCACAATGCAGCTAACTACTGTAGGAGAATTTCACACACAAGATGAAAGCAATTGTGAACTTAATCTTAATAGTCAGATGAATGACTAAACCAGTAAGCATCTAGATACTCGACCACACATACCAGCTCTTCGTAATCATACAGGCCATAATGCCATTTTGTATCATGTTTCAATTTCACCCAGATGAGAAAACCACGAAGTAGTGTGACCAAACTGTTTCTTTCCTGCTCAGAAAGTCTCCTTTCGCTAACTAACCAATAATTTCATTGGAGGGGATAGGGACACGGGTAAGTCCTTAGCTTAAGGGGTATCCCCCCCCCAAAAAAAAAAAAAAAAAAAATAATAATAATAGTAAGAGGATTCACGAGCAAACAAGTCATTTCCGTTCGTTTGTCCTCCGTATAATAATAAAGCTGCCTTCATTATATATCTGTCGAGCAAAATGACTCATTTTTTCATCCTTGAGCCTCCAGTCCCCTCCTTCCCCAGCATCACCATCGCTTTGTACATCTTATAACACGATTTCAACTTTAAAATGTCGAAGCTTAGAATATTTACTACTCTGTTTCTTTAACGCCGATTTAAATGAATATATACTCATGCTAATTTTATGAGAAGAAACAATGATAAAATGAATGAATTGGAGTTTGCTAAAAAGTCGAAATTTTTTCTCCGGTGACATTAAAATATTTCGTAGTTTAACCTTGAGTAAGAAGACAAACAACCTTCATTGAAAGCTTGCACATTTTTTAACAGCCATTTATTATCCTTACACTTGCCAGATTATTTACAAGGACTAAATTATGGTCAGCTATAGAACGGCTTGGAATTCAATATACTACTCCAGAATCAAAACACGAAATACCAACTGTGGAAAATGCGCCATACATATAACGTTTCAACTCCGGGGGTCGGGTCGTTTTGACAGTGGAAAAAGCACAGGCTGCCAATCACCACTTATCGTAATACTGGTGTGGCTCCGCAAGCATTTTAACGCTTTAAGGACACCCTATGAATGTTAGATCTAAGCAAATTAATAAATTTATTTTTTCTGGAATTTTTAGCACTTTAATTATCCTCAATTCGTCAAGGTATTTACTATCTAAAAGCATTGAGGCAACCACTATCTAGAGTATAAACAAGTTTTCGAGTTCAAAATTCCTAATATTTAATATCAGTAGTGCAATTCTATCACCATAGGAGGTGTTGCTTTACATATAATCTAAGGGAAAGTGTTGCATTTCCAAGAAATTAAAATTTTCAACATATTGAGGTCTAACGCGCATTGTATGCGTGCAGGTGTGTTAATCTTGAATTTCCCTCATTAGAAAGTAAAGTTCAAATATGTCTTCATATCATTTACACATATCTTGCTTTATTGGGAAATGACGTCATCAATAAAGGAACCGTTCGTGGAATTTTGGCGGAAAACAAGTAAGATATCTGATGTTTTCTATCTTTTACTGGCACTTATTATGAACAACGCTTTACATCGCACCAGTAATTCAGAATGTACAAAGTTAATGCATTTCGTTAATTAATTCCTGTTTGCTGTGCATTACTTGCTTACATATTCACTTAAAGTTAGCATAAATTAGAGAAAAGCACAGGTTATCTAAAATAAAATTAAATGATGAAAGACAGCAAATACAGTGGTGTGGGCCACGAACGGTACCCGGATATAAACATAGCTGCCTATGATATCATACAACATAAAATTGTCTTAAAACTTCCCATACTGTTTCATCGTGGTCTTTGAGGTAACAGTCTAGCAGTTTTTCATTCAATCAAAATATAAGTATATAATCTATCCAGATCACCAAAATGGCCATTTGCTTTTTTCATTTCCAAATATCACATTCAATCTGCAGGTTATCAAACTTAAAAAAAACGCAAATTATTAACCTATTTCTTCTCAGTATTTTTAAATGGGTGTAACTGCTTTAAGAATACCATGGATTTCTTTGAGGTGCGTTGAATACTCCCTGGGTTTCAGAGATTAGTGAAAAAACGAGGTGCGTATCCGGATAGGGCAACTTACACTGACAAAACTCACGCATCACAAAATATTTGACAGAACTAGTTTACATGTTGCTAGTTTGGACGCTTCGGAGGCGGTTTCAGCAGCCCTCTGAAAGGCCCCAGTGGTAGTCACCTACACACCTCACCTCTTTAATTGAAGATTTGAAACTGAAATATCCTGTAATGAACACGTACTGCTAAAAACTGTTTCCAAAGATATATTTGGGATTTCACTAAACGCTAACTGAGACAAACAAATGGAGAAACGGTATTTTAACGGCATAGACAAAACGAAGCCCATGCTATTGTCTAAAAAGACTCCATGTACTTCAACTACTGGCCGCACCTAGTTTACTCCTAAAATTATATAAACTAACACTAAGACAATGCTTTATTTTCTAAATATTAACTGCTGATGACAGAAAAATGACAATAAATAATGTAACAACTCAGACGAATTTAGACTTACAACCTTACGTTTACCGTTTCCAATCAATAGAAAATGTTTGTCTTAGCAATTCGAACTGCGTCGTGGTAAGAAAACGAAATCACATTTATACCCGAAGAACAGACATTTGCAGACTGTGAATAACATCCAAAGTGTGTATGTTCTCACTGGCTTTGTGTCTTGATTTATCTAAAATACATTTCTACATACTGACGCATGCCTGACGTCACCTCAATGAATGACGTCACTACATTCAGTGACGTCATGTTTAGACCGTGTAAAACATGTCCTTAGCGTCTCGCACTTCGTGGTAAATTCTGGCTGCTATTGACTTGACTGCTCCCCAAACTTCCTCGCCCACAGGCAGAATTTGGTTGGGAGGTAATATGAACCCGAATCTCCCGGTGTCTCTCAGTTCTAGGGTGTAGGCGTACTTGATCTTAGCGACACCCTTTGCCCAGTCAAATGATGCTCCGGCTGCGGAATCTGCAACAAACAAACAATGATAGATTGGCATTTAGTTGAAGGGATGGGGGGTGGGGGGGGGGGGGGAGAACATCCACGGACAGAATTTCTTGCAGCAAGCATACAGATCTTATATTTGCTTTAATTGATAGTATTTTCATTTGAAATATATCTTTGTCGTATACATTTACGTAGATAGGCATGGATTTAAAATATGATGCTTTGAGCCACATAAAACCGTAACTCTCTTAAAGCAATCTCTGGTCTTTGCCTTCAGAATAAAACATTAGCTTGATCCCTTGTCTAAGAGATGAAGTGATGTCACTACTTACATAATATGGAGGCTGGAGACCCGACTTTGAAAGTAGTACCATGTTTCTTCTTCAGCATGTCCGCACCATAGCGAGCCAGAGACATCTGGAATGACATACAACCAATGTTTTCTGTATTTCTTACTTACTCCAATCCCCCTGTTGCATATCCTTAAAACTTAAAAAAGTTCAGGACTGACAGAAAATGATGACTTGAAAACACATTTCATAGGCTTAATGCATACAATGGCGTTGCTAAAAGAGAATGTGAAGTAATACATGTACCAAAAATGCTGTTGCCAGGAGAAGATGTCGCAATATTTCCCACGTCATTACCGAGAGAAAATGGCGTAATACTTACTATGTCGTTACTATCAGGTGGCGAGTCCTGAGTATGACCCCAATTCGTCAACCAGAGCTGTGAGTATGAGTGGAATGACAGATACAACTTGAACAAATTTCTTCTGAGGTAGATAAATTTCCCCATAGCTTTGGTTTCGGCCTCGGAGAAAGCGTGCGGACCCTGGTACGTGTTCTCGCACGGGTCGGTGCTTGAGCAGCGAGAGAACAGCGTGTCGTCGGCACACTCTAAAATGCAAAGGTAATAATCGCCAGTTGCCCTTTCACATGGCAATCGATAAGAGAATTTTACGTTTGTATTCTATAATTTGAGCAAAACAACACCGCTGTTTTCTTGACGGAAGAATAAAAACTACATTTACAGCCGACAATAGGTAAGATTCTTTTTCTACAATGCCATACCTGTACTTACAGGGTTGCTACTAAATATGGAATATTTTTTATCATTGTTATTTTTGAGTGCTGATTAATTTTTTTTTGGCTTGAGTCATTAAAAAAGTATGTCACTGAGTGATAATAACATCCAGTCTTCTGTTGTGAGATATTTTGGTCAATAATATCAATTCTGACATGAGATGCCATTCAAAAGAAAGGAACACCCCCAGAAAACCATATCAACAGTTTGATGTCAGTATAAACTTTAAGATAAGATATTGAAGAAAATGATAGCCTCCGGACAGTGATATGTTACACAGTCAAAGAACTCACTACAGTAAATCATGAAAAGTTAGTAATTGCGGGTATGACCTCCAGCAGCCGCTTGCAGTGCCCTCATCCTACATGGCATACCCTGTGACACGTTTTTTAGAGTTTGGGTGGGGATATCATTCCACCAGTGATATTTGCCTGTAGCAGTTCATCACTATNTCAATGATATCAAATCTGACATAAGATGCCATTCAAAAGAAAGTAACACCCCCAGAAAACCATATCAACAGTTTGATGTCAGTATTAATTTTAGCTAAGATATTAAAGAAAATGCTAGCTTCCGGACAGTGATATGTTACACAGACAAAGAACTCACTACAGTAAAGCATGAAAAGTCAGCAATTACGGGTATGACCTCCAGCAGCCGCTTGCAGCGCCCTCATCCTACATGGCATACCCTGTGACACGTTTTTTAGAGTTTGGGTGGGGATATCATTCCACGCAGTGATATTTGCCTTTCGCAGTTTATCACTATTTACCGGCCGATGACCATAGCTATTAATTCTGTGAGTTACTTTTGCCAAAAGTTTTTCAATTGGGTTCATATCTGGAGAGTTCTGGGCACCGACATGAAATGCTCCCCAAACAGAGACGTTACCACCCCCTAATTGCACCCTAGGCAGTACAAAATCATTGTTTTATGCCCCTCGTACACGTCGGTGGACACGAATTCGACCATCAACCCTAAAAGATCCATATCTGGCCTCATCACTGAAAACGGCGTGATTCCAGTGTTTTGGCTGCAAACGCACGTGGCCCCCAGCCCATTGCTGACGTCGCTGTATATGACCTGCTGTTAACAGTGGTTTCCCTACTGGCCTTTGTGCAAAATAACCGGCTTGCAGTAATCTCTTGTTCACGAGGGACCTTGAACAGGCGTTTGAATGACATTCTGCCTCTCTTTTCTCAGAACACTGGTTGTCTTTGTACGACCAGCACGGCGTCCTCTAAGGAGAAGGCGATCCTGTCTTCTTGGTGTGATACGCGGACACCCTGATCAAGGTTTTGCCCCTGTTGCAACATTTCTTTGGAGGACTTTACAAACGGTTCCTGATAAATGTTGAATTACCTTGCAATGGCTGTCCGTTTCTGGCCATTTTCTCTAAGAGCAAGAATCCCATAGTACGCTGCGTTGCTTACCTGTCGAACCATATCTTCACTAAGGTACCTGTCAAGTTTCAGAACAAACCCTTTCTTGCTTCTCTAAACACACTCCACAGATTGACCAAACCCATGCATTTTTATACAAGGGCATAAATTGCCGAAAGACCACCCCTCAAATTTCTGATCACAGAACATGCAACTGCATGCATCAATTGTTTCGAAAGCTGTGTGGTAATTAGGTAGCACACATGGCTACACATGGAGTGACACCTCATGAGCTTTGGATTTAAAGTAGTTAGAGAGAAATTAAATATTTTGTAGAAAATTTACTCGCCAAAAAATAATATTCCATATTAAGTGGTAACCCTGTATGTTGCTGAGGTACCCAGAATCTCTCGAGTGTGCATTTTATTGTCTGCACTCGGCATTTCAGCATTAAAAACCCCCAACAATGTTGGGCTACCAGCAAAAATCAAGTCGTTCTTCACAAAATACACCGCTCGGCGATAACAAGATATCATGTACCAGTCACCTGTTTGGCGTTCAAACGTAATTGATTATTTGTCTCTTTTGACAGTACCTGTTAACGCGTAATCCATTTCCTAATGGATTACTCGTGTATCTTTTTCATTTTGCATTCATTTTTCGACTGTGTGTGTGCAATGGATTTACTGGCACCCCCACGCAAACACACATACACACGCGCACACAACTGCGCATACATACATTTGTACTTGTTGCAGTGGCGTGCAAATTTAATTGTCAATACAATAGCCGTGAATTAGTTTCCGTAGTTTTTTTTGCAGGAATTGACTCAATCTCCAAATTAAAGTTCTGCGCTCTCCACGAAAAGCATGCGATATTCCTACATAATTTGCATATTGGCACATATGGCTCGACTCTGAGATACTGTCGTTGTCGTTGCGTTTCCTTGCTTTGGCAACATATTATTTGAGTTGACAGTCGTTTCTCATAGGAAGAGGCACATATATGTCTAAAGTAATTAACGTTGAAAATCGCCCTCTGCAAAATTGCAATCGGTTTTAGACAACGGAGTTGCCTCTTACAAAGAAAAAAGGCCGGTGGCTTATCTCGTTGTATTATCATTATTATTAATCCACTGGAACGAATTGTGATTGCCTTGATAATAATTTCATTGTCATTGTTGGCAATGGGTCACTTACATGAACATTACAAACACTTGAAAATGCTAATCAGAATCCATTTAACATGTATTGCGAAAATATCTTAAACAGCCATGAGCTAAATTTAATGCTGTGCCATCACGTTCATCAATAAAGCAACTTAGACCGACTGAGAGCAAAATATTTTACCAAAAGAAAAACTTAAATTAATTTAATATGCACGACAAATATTGCAATTAACTTCTTTCCTTTTTTTCTCCAATTCCTCATTGACAACAATTTCAAAATAATAAGTCAACATCAACATGTAGTTAGGGAGAGCTCTGCATAACCACCTTTCTTTGTCCTCTTGTACTTGTTGATCTTTTTGAATCAATCCTTTCGTAATGCAGGTCTTCCTCCTCGTTATAAGTTTTTAATTTCGAAAGCAAAAAAGCTGCATGTATTGAGCACCTGGTCATGATTTGCGTATTGCAGTTGCAGTTGGTAAATCATTGTGGCTGTTGTGACGCAATGCAATGAAATGAATGCTGACACTCGCCTTAATTCTCAATCTGTATCCATAATCCTGCTTTGTCGCAGCTCTTTGATGCATCAACATATTATCTAATCAAAGGACATCAATGACACAATATATCGGTATATATCTGTTAGTTAAATATATACTAACTGTAGCATATTATTAATGGCATTGACTTTAAGTGAAGAGTACGTTAGCACAAGTACATGTAAGCCCGTTTAAAAAAGGAAATCAGCTGTAATTCGAATTTATCCATTAAAACCTACTTACCAGTAGGGCCTACATGACGAATTCCAGGTCGACAAAGCAGAAGCACTGGTGGATCCAGGTTTTTGCTAAATGTGTTTGTGTGTGAAGGGGGGGGGGGCACATGGATAAAGAATAATTTCCTTTGGTAAATATAAAATATATTATGAAATATACATTTTCAATATTTCAGTTCCTTTTTAAATAACTAAGGTAGATGAATATATGCCAACGATATTTTGTATTTACTGCCAGTATTGACCATTTGGTTGACAGACTGCTGGTTTTGTGTCTGATCTAGCAAGAATAGGATAAGTAGCTGATTTTGCCTTTCAAAACAACTTGAACCCAACTAGCAACGGGGTACTTATGATTTCTGGTTGGTTCAGTGCAGTATTGGACAAAGTGATTTTCACTTAAACATCTCAATTATTTACAGTTATTTAGAAAATGGATACACTTTTCATCTCTTGGGGGTGTGAGGTGATCTTACCTTTTAGCCGTAAAGGTGAACCTCTATGCACATATAATGATGTCTTTAACGGAATTCAAAGGTAACACACAAAACTTTACTGGCCTGCACTGTTTTGCAAAAGACTAATTCCGAAAAACCTTTGAATTATTATAATATATGATAATTATCAAATACCAGCCGAAATATTTCATACCGTTACCTTAAGCCCCCTTTACACTGGACGGCGTCCCTTCTGCGTCCNACCCTCTGCAAAATTGCAATCGGTTTTAGACAACAGAGTTGCCTCTCACAAAGAAAAAAGGCCGGTGGCTTATCTCGTTGTATTATCATTATTATTAATCCACTGGAGCGAATTGTGATTGCCTTGATAATAATTTCATTGTCATTGTTGGCAATGGGTCACTTACATGAACATTACAAACACTTGAAAATGCTAATCAGAATCCATTTAACATGTATTGCGAAAATATCTTAAACAGCCATGAGCTAAATTTAATGCTGTGCCATCACGTTCATCAATAAAGCAACTTAGACCGACTGAGAGCAAAATATTTTACCAAAAGAAAAACTTAAATTAATTTAATATGCACGACAAATATTGCAATTAACTTCTTTCCTTTTTTTCTCCAATTCCTCATTGACAACAATTTCAAAATAATAAGTCAACATCAACATGTAGTTAGGGAGAGCTCTCCATAACCACCTTTCTTTGTCCTCTTGTACTTGTTGATCCTTTTGAATCAATCCTTTCGTAATGCAGGTCTTCCTCCTCTTTATAAGTTTTTAATTTCGAAAGCAAAAAAGCTGCATGTATTGAGCACCTGGTCATGATTTGCGTATTGCAGTTGCAGTTGGTAAATCATTGTGGCTGTTGTGACGCAATGCAATGAAATGAATGCTGACACTCGCCTTAATTCTCAATCTGTATCCATAATCCTGCTTTGTCGCAGCTCTTTGATGCATCAACATATTATCTAATCAAAGGACATCAATGACACAATATATCGGTATATATCTGTTAGTTAAATATATACTAACTGTAGCATATTATTAATGGCATTGACTTTAAGTGAAGAGTACGTTAGCACAAGTACATGTAAGCCCGTTTAAAAAAGGAAATCAGCTGTAATTCGAATTTATCCATTAAAACCTACTTACCAGTAGGGCCTACATGACGAATTCCA